GACTATTAAACGGCTTTTTTTGTCTCTATTGGTCGTGCTTGTGCTGCATGGTTGGCTTGGAGCTAAATGTTCCATTATAGCTTCCACACAGTCATCGGCTAACGTGTAATCACCTGCAGGCAGAGTTAACGTCTGAGGCTACCTGTGGGACCACTTAGAACAGATTCACCGCTAGGGTCAGTAAAGCTCAATGTGTCCGTTCAAACGTTTATCAATATCACGGATATCATAAGCTACCGAGCCAAACTGGGGGGAAATATATATCAAAGAAAGTCCCCTGGGCAGACAATGGCGACGTTTTGTTGCCGCGTCTCCCACGGTATTTAAGCTTTTAGTAACTTTGTAAAAAAGTATGAATTGATGATGGAAATAAAGGAGAAATACTGTAAAGATGCAATTATTATAGCAATATTTGGTTGTACAGTGTGTTCGGTTAAGAAAAAAATGGCTCGAAATCGTTTGGCCGCGGGGGTAGAACGGTCACTAACTCACCGCGATAGATAAGGGACATGGACAGGTCGCTGAACGGTAATTACATAATGCAACTTTCATTTAGCCTCTCAACAATCCACCTCTTCCCTAGAATCTGTCCCCGAAGTGCAACAATCTGCCACATTGTGAAGTCAAATGGCGAAGAAATCGAGCTTTCAGAAGTTGCAAATCTTCCTTGATGTTATATTCATTAACGAGTTGCACAGCATTCGGGCGCCGGGAAGGGAGGGGAGATTTAAAGATTAAATCTCATCCCCCACTACCAAAAATCAAGTTGATGAAAAGGAGCAGGTTCTGGGGAAAGGCAGTCTACAAGTGTCTTTTATTTATATTCCCATTTGTTGTTCGATTTAGGCACACAACTCAAAGTCGCATTGGAATGAACTAAAGCGCCTGCCGACGTTCATTACACGCCGCGCTCATTTTCTGCACTAAATTCGTATGAATCCCTACAACTTAGTAACGGGGATAAGGTGTTGGCAAACGCTTTACAGTTGTGGAAGCCGTATCCTAATGATATGGTCAAAGTTTGGTATCCCACATTACGGACGTAGACCAAAAAAAACAATAATTTAATAATACCAAATTCCGTTACCGGAAACCAAACTCAGCCGAATCATTTGTCTTGGCGAAAACACACTATAAACACTTCATCGTAAAGTGAAAACGATTCGTTCGGACAGATTTTTGTTGATGACTCTACAAGTTCTGGGAGTGACATTTTTGGAATGATGTGGATCCGAATCAACAACAGAGGCTTCGCTTCAGCGCTGAATGCACAGGGCAACATGGCCTAAATGAATGGCGCTAAATATAGGAAGATATTTTTAACTCCCATGTTAAATTAATAACCATTGATGAAAGAAAAAAATACCGAGATCCCCTGAGGGGTTTAGTGTTACAGGTTTGCTGTGTTCGAAATTGAAAAGGGAACGTCGTGGCTCTGGATGCCTTGTGTAGTCCCGGCTTCCCCTGTCTCCACGGGTAACAGGAAAGATCCCAACCGTCTTAATTGTGTGTAAGGGCCAAAGCAGAAAGCTCCGATTACTACGTACATAATCTATTCAGGAGTCTGAATGGTGGCAGGTTAGAAATACTCGCCAAGATGTACACAGAGAGTAAGCCGGGTCCAGCATGCCGCGACTTTGTACGAAACAAGATGAATGGACAAGCGACAGTGTGAATGGATGGGAAAGGTCAGGTCGATATATTGACGGCCACTAAATGATAGAACAGAATGCAGAGATAAAACAAAACGCAGAATGTACTGAAATGTATATTCTATTTTTCAATCATGTACTTTGACCCAGCTTCTGTATTAGTGAGAGGTGAAATTGTTAACTAGTAAGTTACATTACTACCCCGATGTTCGATAAGAAATAAAATACAAATTGATACCTAACTAACAATATATTGCTACATGTATGTGCAAATGTAAACCTGGAGCAACTAGATAAAGTCTTTTTAGTATATACGAACTGATACACAATGTATCGAGTTGTACTTAGTCAGCTTTCTGCAAAGTTCCATTTGAAATCGCTTTGATTTCAGTTTGATATTTACTTCATGTCTTGATGCATTTTTCTGGGAAAAGCTTAGTTTCTTTGCAAAGGGGACGCCCTCTCTCGTCCTAGCTTACCTTCTATAGCCGTTAATCTGTGTCAAATCCTAAAACTCATTATTAAAGTTTTCACTCTTTTTCTTGAATGATGTGAAAACATATCATTCATGTAAAAAAAATACCAAAAAAAATTCAAGCAAGGAGAACACCATAAATATTTTTGGTTTAAAAGATTTGCAATATTTTATTGAATGAGAGAAAACCAAATTGAGGTATGTGAAATGAAGATGGAAAAAATTAAAATGCAATTATGAAAACGTGAACGAAAACAACACTATTGAATACATGAAGATAACATTTGTATGCAACGTCTCTTTGCTTGAATCAGTTTACCGGATGCAAGATTAACGACCGGGAGACCTGCATTCAGGAATTATGAAGATTGAAGATGTTATCACCAGAAGCTAAGGTGTCAAACATTCAGATTTGAGTGATCGAATAGCACTCCCAGCGGCCCATGCCAAATCGTCGCTTTTAAACATGTTATTCAAGCGCAAACTATTGATGATTAATGCTTTCCATATGTTGAAACCGGAGCGGCAAGAAAGTAAAAGAAATGCCGCCGGCACAATGCTATGTTCCTGATTGTCGGTCTTGTTTTTGATGAATCAAAATTTGTTGTTTTTCAAAGCAAAATGATTTTAAAATCAAGTTTCGGTTCGGCCTCCCTTCAGGGATGTGTATAGATGTCCACACTGTGTTGAAACGGGAATGTCAATTAATGTAGTCGGCACTTTTAAGATGTTTGCCTGACGTTTTGGTGTTTGGTTTGGCTTTTGTTTTGTTTTGTTTCGTTTTGGGGATATTTTTTTAAGAAAAAGTGTTAACATATTATGCTTTATGTCTATTTTTCTTCATTTCTTGTGTAAATATATGAAGAGTGCAGGAACCTGCTATACTCACAGGCTATAAAACGTGCTGAAGCATGTGAAGTTAAAAAAAAAAGGTCTTTCTTTGATGGAATTTAGCGTCGATATAACTTTCATGGAGAAAATTATTGCGATACCCGCTGCTGGGGGAGGATCCAGGTTTGGATCAAGGAGGGTTGTTAGCTGTCATGGGGGGGGGGGGGTTCAAGTGGCATCTGTAGTCTTTTCTCTGTTATTTCCCTTTTTGCGGCCCAAGAGGAGGTGTTAACCCCCCCCCCCCCCCCGATCAGCCACTGTGATGGTAAATAAGGCTCAAATCGGCCAACCAATCCCGGAAAAAAATGAGGGTCGAGTGTATAAGAAGTCGGTACAAGTAATCGAGAAGTCGCGGGTTCCAGTCTCAATGTTGTTGTTTTTTCCCTCACAAGCTCACACGGCACATGATTTTAAATATAAGGTCCTTCACAACAACAAGCCAATGAACAACAACAAGCCAATATTAAAAATCCTTCTGACCCGCTTATACCCTATTTATAAAAGCTTTTATCATAGGTGTTTCTATGACATTTCCATATTGGTGAAGCACACACAGGAGACAAATTCCTGGGTCGGGATGGTCGCGATATTGTCATTCCAGAGTTCACCGGCGACTTCTGATAGCAGGGCACAAAAAAAAACTGGGCAAGAAACCGAATACCTCGGGCGCAAATTGAATATCGAAGCTTAATTGCTTTTTATTGATCAAACAATTAGGGACTAGGCAACACGTCAACGCGAGATGTATTGAAACAGGACTTGTGGACGGCACCCCAAGAATTTGACCCGTCCGATGTGTGAGATGAAAGACGAGCGGACCCGTGCTTTCATGAGCGGATGATTTAATTTGATTTTCCGATTCTGTGTAAACACCCAAGAATACCCGGTGTACGGCGAAACAGCTCAGTCGGTACTGGGTTGCATTTATTTAACCCAGTGTAGGCATTATTTAGACAATTGTTTGAGGTAAAGAATGGAACAAAGGCGTGTTGAAATTCTCCGTTATAATTGAATCAGCTATACGTCTTAAAATTCATAAAGAAAGAAACAAGCAGTTCCGTACCAAGGAATGATGTCTGTATTTAAAAAATTAGCATCCATATACGATGAGGATCGACTTTCGAATTCACGTTTTAAATTTGTCTAAGAGAGAAGCGATTATGATGATGATGCAGTCGGGAATTTTCGACCTCTGGGTATACATCATCAAGTTGTAAACTGCCCCATCAAAATACACTCGCTGTGAAGTGTCCTGTCACTTGTGTTTATTTGTTGTACTTGTGTGTACTTCATATAACATGCATACTCCTTCGCGGTCCTTCCTATTCTTCTGTTTGAATAGAAATTTAATGAATTATTCACATGAAACAAATTGAATTAAGGTCAAGACACTACGAAATGAATTGGTTAGGTTATTTCAAATGCAAAATCGCCAGAGATTTATATTCAAATAGAGTAATTCCGGTAATATAATCGAAGGACCGCCACCTCGGGTTCTTGTAACTTGTATAATGCTTCTAATTAAACACTGATCTGCATTGGTCATTAGCCGAAGCAATTTACGACATATCAAGATAGGGTGCTGAGGGCTGACACATATTTAATACAACAATCTTATAAAATAATTCATAAACACATGTCTTTCTGCAAGTAACGTTGCTTTTGCCGTATATATAAGGTCTTGCATCTTCTGAAGTTTCATGCGGACCCTTCGCTCGATCATGTTTGTCTCTTTATGTCGTTCTAGCAGGAGGCAGGCACGGCTCGTGTTTTCAGACACCGTAGCAACCAGCTGTGTATCCTTTATCATAATTCAGACGGCATTCGGCGATGAATCTCCCCAAACCCTGGGGCATCTGGAAATGTAGAGGGATCGTATTCAAAACGTCTTTATTCAAAGGAAGGTGGTGCGGTGCATTACCTATAGGTAACTCTCATATTATGTTAACGTTTACCTTTTTTTATTTTTTTTTTCTCTCCAGAAAATGCACGGATTAAAGGAAACGTGAGCAGGATTACAAGAGATTAAAGTAGACGATTGTTAAACGCTTTCGACGGCGCTCAGTTAAACTCAGTAGCAAAGGTAAGAGTACCACGTGATCTGCCCAATGATTCTTACTGCTCCCTTTATAATCCGGAATAATATATTTATTTTTAAGTTAAGGATGATTCATGCTCATGGTTTTTAATAACTTCTATCCTCTACTATCCACTTAAAATGGTCAGGTTCGCTGTCTCTGAGTTGAATCTGCCGTCATGCTTTTAAAAGTTGCTTAAAATAGCAATATATAATATGCTTAAATCATTTCAAAGTTATAAGCTCCAGCATACTAACCAAAAGTTCCCTAAATCTGGCAAGCGGCTTGGTTGTTCCGAAAAGTTTGTTCATATGAAGAAAAGTTTTCTCTAACATGACTTGAAACTGAGGCAGAGTACACAATAATTTCAAGCTATAAATTACGAGAATGTAAAAATCAATCAGGTTAGTAAGTAAACGCTTGAGTGGACATTTCATAATATACATGTCATAATATATATTCTGTTCTTCCACCGAAAACCTAAATAACTTCTAAGGTTTTTCTCCATTTCATTGTTCACAGATTTTGATAGTAATAAGTAAGTGACTGATAGGTCGAGACAACACTATGGCGGGCACGGAAGGATATACTCTTCTGGATGACCAGGACCACGCTATGAACACCACGTATAGTGGGTCAATCATAAATATCCCTGATAACCCTGACCAGGCCGAAGCCATGTCACCTGTCAATGTGACGGATGCAAATCTTCACTTGTTCCTGTACTCCACTGTAGATACCTTATTAGTTACGGCAGTCATGCCGCTTATTTTCACCATCGGGGTATTGGGAAACCTTGCCGTTATTGCCGTGTTTGTACGCGTACGATCAATGCGAACGGTCACTAATCATTATTTGGTCAGCCTGGCCGTGGCAGACTTGACTTTCATCCTGCTCTCGGTGCCACAATTCTGGGTCATGTACGCGACCTCCCCGCTCTTCGGAGACTACCGGGTCCTGCAGTCCGGCTACTGCAAACTGACTATTTACCTGACTGAGTCCAGTATCATTGCTTCGTGTTTCACGGTCATCTTGGTCACGTTTGAGAGATACGTCGCCATTTGTTGGCCACACAAATTCAAAGAACTGAGCACGAAGCCGCGGGCGGTGTTGCTTTGCACCCTCGTCTGGGTGTTTGCGCTGGGTTACAAGATACCTACCTTGTGCTTCTCGACTGTGGTGGAAAAAGAAATCGTGTGGATGATCTCAGCCAAGACAGTCACGTACCCAGACTCTATTTACACCTGTTATTTTTGCTATCCCGAGGAGTCCAACATGTGCAACGCGTTTAAGAAATCGCTGACATTGGACCAGATCATGTTACTGATGGTCATACCCATCACGATGGTCATGTACTCTTTAATTGTCCTGCAGCTACAGAAACTTGCCAAGTCTACAATGATCAGGGGTACTGGTAGCAGCTCCTCCACCCGCATGAAGAAACAGGTTGTACGCATGCTGATAGTCACCATAACACTCTTCGTCATATGTATGACACCCTTCCGTATCCTCAACCTGTTCAACATCTACAACTTTAAGCTACCGCCCAACTCCCAGTGGGTGTTAGTCAACGTGGGACGCATCATGTTGTACACAAACTGCTCGGTCAACCCGATCATTTACAACATAATGAGCGACAGATATCGCCAAGCGTTCCACGATACGTTTCTCTGTTGTCTACCTAAACGCGGGGAGGCCAACCACGAGCAGTCAAGCTGTAACAGGAAAACCACCAAATACACGGCAAGTATGTGGGCGGAAACCAAATGAATCTTCGAAATGTACCTCGGTATAAACTTGGTGCCGTAGTTTCGACTACAGTCGAGAAACAAAAACAGATTCTGTTAAGGCCGATTTATACTTCACGCGACTGTTAATGCGAAGCATATGCATTGTCACGGCAGTGCTGCGATGTTTGTTAGAGTTGAAATGATCAACGCATCCTCCCTGTATACAAAACCTTATAGTCCGTCGCATTACATTATACTAGCGTTCGCGCTCAGTTTTGCGCCGAGTATGGATCGGTCTTGTATTCCAAATCAGAGTTTTTATGCGGACAGCTCAGGCTTCGCATTTACATCATAAAGCCAACTGAATCAATACTTTCCGTAATCTGATTGTGTAAAAGTTAAAACATATTGAAAAACCGGAGATGAACCACAAGAAAACAACCATGCGATTATTGTTGAGGGTTATTCACGATACAACCATCTGTGAATGTAAATAAATATAGTTCATTGTTGTAGCTCCTGTGGTATATGTCCCTCGGATTAATGCTTGACTACGTGGTTACCTCTGCATTTGGACAAGTCGTTTTGAAGGATACAATGGGCAAAGTGTTTTTTACATTGACAAAGTGTAAGTATTCTGAAATAAGTATTCAGATGCTAGGTTACTTTTTTATGAGCAAGGGAAATATATTTGTTACCGAAAGACAACGCTTCGAGACGACAGAGAGAATTTGTGATCGCGGTAGCATCGTTCCACGAAGTATCCACTCATTAATATTGGTCCTAAATGAACTTTCGAATGTATATAGATGACGATTTATTGTATTTACTAGAGGACTTTTTTTTTGGAACAAGTGTGAATTTTGTTTAGTTTCAGTGTTGAATCGGTGGTTCTTTTTTTTTTTAAACGTAACCGTCGCTGAAAAATGTAAAAAGAATGGAATTGTAATCAACTTGTGAGCTTTTGTTTAAATAAATAGCTTTCTTTTAATGCCCCAAAGTTGGCTGATTGTAAAAGAAAAAATAATGGTATATAAATGTATATATTAAATTATCTTCATGTGACATTTTAAATACGATTCCACGTACATACATGGAATTAATCGAAATACTATTTTTTTCACGCACTGACGACACGTGTACGTGAAACATTACACGAGTGCTATTGTAATATTGTGAAAAGATATGACGAACGACCTAACAGCCAAATAGGGCTTATTGTCCAAAACATTGCAAGATTGTGAAAATATTTCATCACAAAACGTTTGTACGTGATCAGTGATGTATGCGCACATAACTGTATAGCTTAAAACTAATGAATGCCGTAGATTGGTGTAACCAGTATGAGTGTCAGTGGTCTAGTAGGCTCATTTGTTAAAGCATCAGGCACGTCGGAACATTGCTAATTACTAAGAAGCGAATCTACCGACTAAATAGCAAAATGCTTGCATAAAGTGAGGACAGGGCTGGCCCCACATACCCTATGAATTATTCTGTGTGAAATGGTATCCTTCGAAAGACAACAAATCACTGAAGGTGATTTAAAAAGTGTTCCAGCTGACACACATTTACGCGCGTTAGCTACGGAGTCTGGTTACGAGACCCCAAATTGTGTATGTGTTTTCTCAAACTTTCGCAGGTTAGTTGCTATGCATCTTACTTGAGATTTCAGCTATTTTGTTGCGTAAAACGAACCAAAAAAGAAAAGAAAACAAAAACCAAAAGGAAATGATGCTTCGCACCTTTAAATTGATCAGAGTACCAATAGTCAGCCGTTCTTGCTCACTGCTGTCCTCTCCCGATCTTTGGAGGAAACAATTCTGGTATGTTTGTTTTGGTATTCTAATTGATTTTATTTTGCAACATAGTTATTCTGTCCTTTTAGTCCTGATGATATGCTGGACCTTAACTTCGTATTAAATGTTTCACTGGAGAACATTAATAATGGGTAGCACTTCAATTTATAAAAAAAATCTGTCTTGGCCAGAATATTGTATCTATAAAATCTGAGATACATGTCTGAATCTACGCTTTAAGCAATTCGATTTGGGTTATATTTCATTTTGGTGTATGTGACGCACTATCCCGAAACTATGCCGAGAGGAGTAGATATGGTTCTCGACTTTTTTCGTACCTCTGGGAAACTGTATTGAAATAATCATGTTTCAGTGTTTATACAACCAGAGGGGAGAAATTTGACTAGAAACGGCTGATAACAAAACGGCTCTTATTGCGACGTCAGTTTCGTTTTGGGTTCTTTATGTCACATTTTAGTTCCCGATGATATCAATCAATGTGACAGTGTCTCGTGTAAGACTGTAGTACCTCCAACTGCACTCATAGGTCGGTTTGAACATTGGAGGGTATGCTTTTGAAAAGGAAACTCAACTCCAAAAACCCACTCCACATTTTGTACCAATAACCTCAAGGGAACCCGTTCTCTGTGACGCCCTTAATGCATCGATTTTTTGCCAACATTTGGTTTAATTGATAATGACATTAATATTTGTTAATCTGAATATGTAAGTGACAGTACGAGACGCTGTATACCTTTTACACATACAAAGGGACCCGGCCTTACTCTGACTTGACTTGACAGAAATGGAACAAACGATACCAAGCAGTCACTACTACCGACATGCATGTACCTGACCATGCCATTATGCCTGCACATTTTGGTTATGTATTGCTTCTATGAAAAGTGCATGATTTAACTAATCATTGGTTTGATTGTGAATGTGATTTGAAACAACATTAAGACAACATGAGGACAAAGACTGAGTAACATGACAAACAGAAATTGAGGCAAGCTTCAAACCAAGCTTTCATTCCCCGCCCTGTATGTATGGAATACTTAACAATTTGGGAAGGAAAGGAAAGGAATATGCCAAATGACGGATAGGACAGATGGCTCGACCTAGATGTGAAGTGGCTCAATATACTACGTAACATATTTTGGAGGATGGCGGTAAATTGTGCTGTGGAGGAACTTCACTAGAATGTTGCACTTTAATTATGAGGCGGCACTTTAATTATGTTAATAATTCTCAGATTAGCTTGGCTGGAATGTCCCCAAAGCACTTTGAATGTTGCCAGAACCAAACTGAGCAAACACGCTGTTCAAGTTGATACTACATTATGCAAGCAGCACAGCTATAATTAGTTGAAACTCATTAATAAGCCATTACATAGATACATGCGACTGAGACAATACATCTTGCAGACCACCAGACTCGTAACAGTGACTGAATAACGTGACTAATTGATTGACATAGGTTCTTATCTAAAGGCTGAAACGATACCCTTTCTGATTTCAACCAAGGACGAGCGACCACAATATCAAACGTACTGACCCTAAACTGCCGACTGACGTGACGTACGATCAACGTAGCCTTTGTTTTCCCTGTGTTTTTGACGATTGTTTTTACAACTAAGACGATCTTAATGGATCACTGTCAGAAAAAAAACCTACAGCATTGTCAAACTTGAGCCATACGATGCCCGTGTGACCTCACCATGACGATTTTCACGACGGACCAATCACTTTGCTCACGTGACCAGTCGAGTTGACGTGTATACTGTCCAATATTGTCATGACTTTTTGTGGCCGTAATCCGACGATTACCTGTCTCAGACACCCAGACGATAACGGTGACAGCGCATATTTTACTTACTGTAACTAAACGGCAGTCGGTGTTTCTGACTCACTTTTCATTCGCTCATCACTTGGGTTTTAACATGGACACGCCGTCCGTGGCATTTTGTCAATTATAATTCCGTCGCGAAAAGGGTTAAATGGCCGACTGGGAATCCAACTGCACGATTTTAAACACCGTGCCTTGCGGCGCAAAGACGGTCTGTGAATATGATTGCTTAAACGAGTACATTTTTTTGACTAAAAAAATCTGATTTCCCTACTTCTTTTTCTGGTGCTGACTATTATGGATCGAACAAGTGGCAAACATTAAGCTTTTTGTTGCGCTTTTGCAGTTAGTTTCCGACCGGTTTTTTTTACGTTGTGTTTTTGTAACACGCCTCTCACGTAGCGTTTTCTGTCCATCAACGGACACAATTTAAAAAGGGGTACGCTGGGTTTTAAAGGTTAAGATCACTCGGGAATGGGACTGCAAGACTGGAGGTTGCCCAAATCGAAGTCTTAAATATTCATTGAGGTCCTTGGAGGGAAACATTAGACCAAGTGGAACACTTTGCTGCGGAGGGCCATAAAGTAACGAATCTCATATTTCAAACCCCTCGCCCAATCCAGGGGAAATATCGATAACTTTCTCGGTAAATGACGAGACAATTTCACCGAACCATTCCGCCACAAAGGGTGAGGTTCCTCCTCAAAGCAAGCTGTTACGTCTGAACAGGTTCTTGCGACACTGATGGTTCCAACTTCATATACGTCTTCACAAAAGATGTTTTTTTTGTTTCACACATTTGCCCAGCAGTGCTAAAATCGAGCATTTTTCCAATACAATCCGATAATATAAGAACAAGTTTTTGGATGGGGAAAAAAGTTGAAGAAAAGGCGAATTGTTTGCAAATGAATTTCCACTCTTATGGAGAAAAAATCTGACGTTTGTTAACCTTTGCGCGTAGGCTTGATTTGGACAGACAAACAGTTTGGACACAGTACAACGCTTTCCATTTTGTTGACCGACATACTGAAAAAGATCAAGACATCGATCTTTGGGAGGGGGGCGAGGGCAGGGGATTGCGACATTTTCATAATTAACGGGGAAAAAAAGGATTGTATATTGTTGGCAAAAAGTAAGATGTAAATAAAGGCCCAGACTGGATGAGGTATCCAATGCGATGTTCTTCACTATGGCCTAGTATTCCTGTTTGACGAGTTATTTTTGCCGGAGCCGGCTTTTGTTTTTAGCTATTATGGCATTAACAAGTGGTTCCATTTTTTAACGAACTGTAGTTGTCAACGATTTATATCTGTGTCGTCATAACATGTTGTCGTACTTCACTGTATCTTAAACATTAGATATCACCACAACTATATATTCGAATTGTACACATTACAATTAAGTAATTGTAAATAATGTCAACTGATAAGAATTGTTATATAGCAGTGGCTAATATAGATCAAACATAGCCTGGGCGTTGGATTAAACAAATACTTGTTGATAAAATGGCACCATCGTGTTTTGGCTTCATTTCATGAATGTTTCAACTTAAATAACGGAGATCTAGGTTGCGTGCATGGTTCCTCAAACGGAGAAAAAGATTGCGATCGCGCATCATCAACGGTTGAACATACAAGACAATCTGCACAGTTTTCATCATTTATTGATTAAAATTAGAGCACACAAATGATAGAACTTTGACACATCTGATTGTCCACTGCTGCTGCCTCCGGTTTTTCTTTCCACTTTTTTTTTAATATTTGGCCCTAGACGAGGCATCCTACATTGACTTTTGTCAAGGTTTCTCGGTCAAACTGACCCGGAAAAGTGAGTCAGAGAAGCGTCATTTCGACCCAGAAAAGTGACAAAAAATTTGACCCTCAAAAGTGTCAAGTCAAAACGAACCCGGACTACGGATCAATCTAAGCAGGGACTTTTGTTTGAGAGTTTATAGTCCTCTCTGTACCCACTAACTGACCTACTGGCTCACTTGTGAGCCGGGTTATGCTATCGTAAAGCACTGTATCATGTCAATGGATGGATTATCTGGTGCATTGTGTACGGAAAATGGCATGAAAAGACTTTAGAAATTCTGCATCAATTGAGTAGAATATTGTGAGCACTGGGACCAGCTTTACTATACCATGTATTGCTTTTGCACACGTTGCTTTGGATCAGTTACAATCAATAATGAAAGCTGAGCTAGGTTGCGAATAATATACGTATTTTTGGCATTTTTTCTCTCAATCGCTCACGTTATTTGAAGGTTGAGCAAAATGCCATGATGTTATCTGCGACTCCTTTCATTATCACTACGCCTCCAGCGCTAAAGTCCAAAGCATTTCTGTTATCGACAGACATTTTAATCATCAATACGGCCCTGCACCCACGCATCAAATGCGCTCCTCTCACGTCAAGGCGCTACGGATATTTGTTATGGTCTGGTTCCAAGACCTGATTTTTCTGTCCATTCAGGTAGCAACCAATATCATGTGACCGATATTACGTCATTAGGATCGGTAGGAGTTCCTCCAGGTTCCGTAAATGTTGGAAATGTTCGAATCCGTTTCGTTCAAAGCAAGAAAAGAAGACGTCATTGGTGTTCGCAAAATGTGCGCGCTATTTTGTGTGTGTGTTAATCGCATGCGCAAGTAGTGCACGCATTGGGTGTGTCATTTAATATGCCTTCTTCCTGAGTTAACATGGGCGTTTTAACTACGGTGCACGTCAATTGGGTTATTGTCGTCAGTTTACGTTTTGCTACAGCTGACCAAATCTTTTTTTTTTCAATCTCTACCTTTTCAAGTTAAAGTTAACTACGCTGCGTGCACAAATACCCCCTCAGCGGCAAGAAAGGGAGAATTTGGGGAGATCGCTGTAGGGACATTCGAAGGCAATGCCGATGATGCTCTGGCAAAGACGCTTTAGTTTTGTGCATATTGGGAATACAATTAATCGTGCATACTTCACGCCATAGGCGTGCGAACCAGTACGAGCACGCGTTGTGTCTCCCAGTGAGCTCTCAGAAGTGGCAAAAAAAAACGCCCTCTGTTTAATATGTACGAGCCCATAAATCGCTTCAACGGAGTTTTTCCAATGTTGTTACAGCGCCCTCATTTGCTCGAAAATAATTATGGTCATACTTATCTCTCGTCATTAGGCTGCAAAGCGCCATCTACATTTCCAGCAAGGCGTCTATAACGCAGTCTTTTAAAGCGCCCTCTTTTGAGGTGGCTTGAATAGTAGGAAACTATTTCGGCTGGACTTTTTTTCAGTGGAAAACACTAAATCGATTCCTACTTCCCCGACCGCTTGCCAGGCGTCACTGGAGCGCCACCAGCCAGATCCCTGACCAATTCGAAGACTTCACTTTATTCAGACGTGGGGATCAGTGCGTTGGCTAGTATATATACCTCACTCTCTAAAAGACTCCATAATTATTAAAAAATATTATGAGATGTAATGTCCAAGAAAATGCAATTTCTGGGAATGGCATTGCCTTACTGCGAAGATGTTCATACCCTGTCCAGATAATACGAGAAGTGTGACCGAGTGAATGGTTATATCATCCAGTAGAGATGCGTCACTCGATGTATAAAAGGTTGATTGACAAAGTTATCAATCGGCAAAGATTCACCTGAACGCCACTTACAAATAGGCCACTTGTTAAGCAAATGGGCGCTGTAACAAACACATGGGAATCCAAAGTCACTGACATCAGCTTACATGTTGCAGTCATCTATAAGTTATAATTTTAACAATCTTCAATATTATTGTTAATGGAAGTAAAGTTACAAACTTTCTTCAATAAACGTAGCAGCGCCCTCATTCGCTGAAACAATGCCAGTTGTAACTATAAGATGGACAGATTTTCATGCAGTTATAACCGTAACACGAACAAAGGTCAGAGAAGTAGAGAGATGTGCAAGATCGTCAAATGTCAAGGAGGTCAACGAAGGTCAATTTATGGACAAAAGTCAAGAAAGGGATATCCATTTAATACTTCCACATTTGGCTGCTTGATATATTTTTAAAGTAAAAGCATTAGGCACTTTTTGATAATGAGTTGTGATTTTTATTATTATTAACTCAAAATGCGTGAATATTAGTAGATAAAATTTTCACAAGCATAATCAAAAATAGCTCGATCCGCATTTTCACCATAAATAGGTGTGATTATTATGTCCGACATGCGTGCACCTGCATATGGGTGCACCGAATCAATTAAATTCTCACAGACAACAGTGATGTATGCCCACACTTTCTTTTAAAAAGACTTTTAAAGTACCACATTTGGAATCATGTACGTTATTAACTACGTTACACCCCCTTTTCAGTAGGAAAAACCCCCAAAACGCTCACCACACTAGTAATGTGACAGTGAAATCAAATTATCACTCCGACATTGATTTCCCCTCACGTTATCTTACAGAAATCGATCATTCTTAACCCTCCAAATATATACAGATGCAGCACGGGATATATTAATTTCATGAACAGTTCAGCTTGGAAAGAACATTGATTAAAATATTACTTATAGTGATGCACAAATGAGTTTTCCGTGTTATTACCTCTTTATAAACTATTATTTTTATGAACTTAAAATGCGAATTTACGGTAAATGTCAATTGTTCAGGACAAAAAGTAGTTTTGCAAACGTTACATCGGATTTGCATATGACCCCTTCATGTAAACAACTGCACAATGATCGCCTTATAGAAATAAACCACAGTTAACATGTCACTTTCGATTACACTGACATGACAAACTACAGCACTATATTAAAACAATACTTGTGTGATGCATTTAAAACAATTATTTCCTCAACATGAAGGATAACATCTGCTGGGCTGGTATTACAAACTATTTACTTTTGATTGGTAGACCTTATTACTGTATCCCGAAAAAAAGCTCCAATCATCAAAATATTTTAGGCCTTACAGCAAATATTAAAATGCCAGGCCCTTGAAAAAAATACCCATAATACACAATTACAAACAGCATTGTAAAAAAAACTATTTCTCTTGAAAGTCATTTCTGATTATACCGAGTTGGTTTACCTTTAATATATAGAAGTCCGGCTAACAGAGAGCGCACTTTTACAAAAGTGCTTAATTAATAGAATATGTCCCAGAGTTTTAAAGGGAAAAACTTCTGTTGGTGCAGTGCAGTCATCGTGATTCCGTGATTAAAATGTCCTTGTTAGAAATGGAGCAAATTGTAAGGGACTTATTACAGTCAATGCTTGCAATGTTCCTTG